CTTTAATGACAGAATTTTCATTTTTGGGTGAACTAACCCTTTAAGATGGAGCGGCCTGTTTTATTAATTTACACTCTGTCTTTGTACTCCGAATGCGTCCCGTATCTGTGTGTGCATGGATGTTCTTATAATAATGCGAAAAATTACGCTATTTGACTCTTTTGTAGAGTTGTTACTGATTCGGCAAAAAGTCACATTGTGCAAAATCATGACCGATGAGTATACAGCACTTACATAAGCTGCTCTTTTGTTGGTTTGATTGCTTCTGTTGTCCTCATTTGTAAGTCACTTTGGATAAAAGCATCTGCTAAATGATTAAATGTAAATGTACGTTATCGATCAGTGGCGTCACTTCAGAATGCTCCTGAGCACTTATAATATGTATTAAATGTAGTTAGTGTTATGTTGCAAGGCTTAATATTTGAAACAACCCAATAAATTAAATAAGCATCTTACCTTTAGGCAGTGCTGGACAGATTACTTACAAATTATATTCTGTTACTGATTCCAAATGACATGACAGAAATTATAGTCAGTAACGTAATCCATTACATTAAACATTTCAGGTTATATAATCAGACTACTTTTTGATTATTTTTAGATACTTTTGACCTAACTCGTTTATCACATTGATTGAAATATAAAAAAAAATCTTGTTCCATATTGATATAAAACTGCAGAGAGAATGAAAATATATTCCATTTGTTGTTAAACAACACAATTGCATTAAACATTACATCGCATCGGAGTTTCCTAAACTGGGGTTTGAGAGTTGAATGAAAAGCTAATAATTAATGAAATCATAAAAATATGAAATTAAAATAAACCATTTTAAAATAAGTTAAAATAAAACGCTTACTAAAAAAGATAAAGCTTTTATTTGTTTTCCTGCATGCACTCTAAAAAATGCTGGGTTGTTTCAACCCAACTTTGGGTCAAATATGGACTAACCCAACTTTTGGGTTAAAAATGTAATGTAAAAATTTAACCCAACGGTTGGGTTAGTCCATATTTGAGCCAAAGTTGGGTTGAAACAACCCAGCATTTTTTAGAGTGTGTCATGTGACCATTAACCAACGTCAGAGAATCATGAACATGCAAATCTGTTACTGAATTATTAACTTATTACCTTAAAATCTCAGGGGTACTTCAAATAATTCTATTAGGTGAAAAAAGTTAAATGTAAATAAAAAATAATGTGAATTTGTGCATTTTAATGTCTTTAAAGACAAAAGCCTTCCAAAGACATAGTAATACATGGTTAAATAACTCACTGAGTGATCAATCAAATAAAAATGAATGTGTTGATCAGTAGTTGATGCAATGTTGAGATGTTCAGAAAACACTTTATTAAATTGAAATGATTTTTGTTAATCCAGTGGTCAAATGCTGTGTGGCCTTTCAGTTTTCTGTGTAATTAAAGCCACCTAGTGACTGATCTCTGCGTGAAGCTGGAAGACTTTCTGAATGCATATAAGCTGTAAGCTATTTCAGAAAGGGACATTTAAAAGATGAAAAAGAAGAATTAGTGAGAATCTGTAAATTATGAATAAGTTCTTGCTATTGTGTGAATAATATTTAATCAATAAAAAAGTAACTGCAATCTGATTATGAGTATTTTAAAATGTATTATAATCTAATTAAAAGTACTTCATTTTTGGAATCGGATTACGTAATCCAGAATACATGTGATCAGTTACTACCAGCACTGCCTTTAGGAATACAAGACAGGTTGAAGGTTATGCTAACTTTATGAGAAGTTTTTTTTTTTTTACAATGGTTTTTAAGAACATTCTTTTCAGGATTTCAGATTCTTCTGAGGTTTTGTCTTAAGAAACAAGTTAAGAATATTCTTTCAAAATGTTTTAGGGAATACAAAACGTCATTGGCTTTTTTTTGTTGTAAAAAATAGCAGTTACGAATGATTTTAATGAATAATCAGATTTTGTGAATCCAGTCCCAGATGCTAAAAGATCTCCAGAACACCATTTGGCAACATATTGTGCAATGCCCCTCACATTAAGCTACCGACGCCAAAATATTAGGCACAAAATTATAACTGCTTCTTCACAGTTATTATGACAGGAGCAGTTTCACTGAAAGACTGAGACTGGCCATTATATGAGTGACACAGTGACCTGCGCGGTCACAAATATGCAAGAAAAAGCAGCTAGATAATTCCATTGCCACAAGGGACAAAAATATATTTTAATAAAAATGCAAAATGCAGTTTCAGGCCCGGTAAATAAGCTCAGTTCATCCGCTATCGACAGCTGAAGTAAACAGTTAATTTTTTGATCCCAGGCGACTTTTGACTATTAAACTGTTGTGCATTATGGATGTTTTGGATTTATTTGGATATTTGTTTCTCACTGAATTTACATTGCCTTCTCCAAGACGTTACTATGCTGATGGAAAGCCATCTGTGGTTATATGCTCACAAGGCTGTTTCAAAGAGATATCTCAGTCACCTTAATGCCCAAACGCAGCTAAGCCTGTATTGTCTTCTTAACAGGGTGCCGTCACCGGGAGATCGAGCGTCTGCTTAACACATGATGTTCAAGGACTACAGATCTGCTCGAGCTGTAGGTGAGTTGATATGTATTCCTCTGATGGACGTTCTGTCTGCTTGATGTACCGTCAGAGACCCTTTAAGCTTCTCATTCACAGGCAGAGTGTAGATTTGTTGGCAAGATCTCTGCTGCACACCTGATAAGGCTGTCAGTGTCCCCACGAGAGGCTGCTTCTCAATAATAAGAGGTTTCTTCTCCAGTTCTTTGGCATTTAATTTTGTCACGGACAGGTGGAAACATCTGCTGGATCGCCTCCATCACTTTTCGCTTCTTGTGTGAGCTTTCTAAATGACATGAAGTTTAGATTTCAGACCTTTTATCAAGTTGTGAGAGATTAAGCTGTAAGGTGAGGCTGATGCTGCTTCAGATGGGTTTTGTGAGCCAAGAGGAATGGTATTAGAGCGTATAAATAGCCCAAATGTTTATGCCAGTGGAGGACTAGTGCTTTTCAGAGGATAAATCACAAAAGCAGGGTTTCTGTATGAAATGTCAGATGGACATTCTGTTCAATGTCTTGTCTAAACCCGAACTCTTAGAGCTTTTTCTGTGAGATTAAAGGTTTGTGCTTGTTAAACCGACTCGTTTAGTTGTATTTTTAATGCTGAATACTTTCAAAATCGTCTTAACTCGGTTTTGACATCTGACGTTCGACGTGACGGACAGGTCTTCAATCGCACAGCAGAGTGAGTGTTAGAAATCAAATCCTGACAGGAGAATTGAGCCGGGCGACTGTGAGGGAACCAAAGGCTTTCATTTCTCTAAGGTGTGTGGAAGATGAGCGTGTCCTCTCTTATTAGGCTCTGTGTGGGCCGTGCCGGTGGGCTCACACGGCTTTGCCCTCCCCACAGGTGGCCGCTGTACACCGCACGGTCCTGCTGCAGCTGTATGGGGGCAGACTGCTTTATTTACAATGGGGTTTTTCTTCCACGTTCCCCTTATCTAGCCCAGCACACAGCGACAGAGTTGACTGATGACTTCCTCTTTTCCACAATCAAGGACCGCCGATCCGGGAGTGCTTTTTAGTGCTTTCTCATAAGGTAATGGCAACTAAACTGAATGCCGGTCACAAAAAGAGAACTGACAGCACAGACTGAAAGCTGATGCATATTAAGGTCTGAAATCTGAGTTCTATTTATTGCACGTACTGTGAACATTCCGGTTCATGTTATTGTGCATAAAAATATGATCATAGTAATATTTAATCAGAATTTCTTCAAAATCTTTTTCTGCTGATATGGGCTGATGGATATTGTTAACCAATAGCTTATGCGATCTTTGATCCATTTTACTCCTTTTAATCAATTCCTGATGGATAAAAGTCCTGCCGTACAATTTTTTGTATTAAAAATGGGTTGCGAAGGCAATTCATGTCTACTTGACTGTTTACTGGCTGATATCAATCTGATATAAAACCAATTAATCCATGTATACAACATATTTATGTTGATTCACTTTACCAAGAAAATTTGAAAGCAGAACATTTCTGGTAAAGCTATTAGTACTATTTTATTGCTGTCATCAGAGAAGAGATATCTAAAGCTTCACCCTTTTTCTTTTCTTTTTTTTATATTAGGCAACACAACAGATAATTAAAATGTTTCTTGAGCAGCAAATCAGTATATTAGAAAGATTTCTGTAGAATCATGTGACACTGAAGACTGGAGTAATGATGCTGAAAATTCAGCTTTGCATCACATAAATAAAATTCATTTTAAAATAGTTTATAATAGAAACAGTTATTTTAAATTGTAATAATATTTCACAATATTGCTGTATTTTTGGTCAAATAAATGCAGCCTTGTTGAGCATAAGAAACTTCTTTAAAAATAAATAAATAACTTACCGACCCCAAACTTTTGAACAGTAGTGTAACTTCTACAGGTGGCAACAGATCATATCAGATCACATAAAATTATTTTTGACAGTCTTTCTAACAAAATATAGGTTTGGTAAGCTTGTCAGAAAGTGCACATGGTTCAGACACTTGGCCTAGTGATTTGTGCACGTACGCTTTGACAAATTGAGTGCTTGTGCTCTTGCAGGTGGCACAAATTTTAAGTTGATTTGTGACATTTATGTTCTCCTTCACTCTCAGCATCTTTCGCCATCATTTCTTGTTCTCTCTGTATTCTCTTATACCCATTTTGGGAGTAAAAATATCTTTTAACAACATTAGTAGTGATTTTTCAAGTTAAAGAGGACACTTTCATCACAATTGTACAACAATTTATTTTCGGGGAAATCCAAGTAAGTGAAATTGGATCCCGGGTCTGAGTAATTCGCACTGTTCCACCTCGGTGCCAGTGCGAACGGTTCTGGCAACTTAGAAAGAACTTTGTCTTTCACACTAATAATATATTACGAATTCAGTGAGGTTGACTGTAAGCCGAATGCACATAGCACAGCTTTCTGCTCTCATAGCTCTGTTGCTTTATTATAAATGGTCATTTTGCTATTGTCTTATACTTAAATAATGGAGATGCCAGAGGCTGGAGAGTTCAGCTTTACATCTAGTTAATTGGTTTTGTGTGAAGAGTTGCAGGACTCGTGTTGGCTGTGAGGTGAGGGGTGCTGAAGGTGAAATGCCTGCATCAATCAGTCACCATAATGAATCTGGAGGTCTCATTGAACTGTCTGTGCAATATAACACAAGCACGACGATTACACATTTTAGATTTGTTTTGCATTACTCTGTTGCATGATTGAAGGCCTGCAATTAATTTAGTGCTTCTTTGCCTTCACATTAAATTTACTCACCCTCAGTTCATCCAGATGTAGGTGATTTTTTTCTTCAGCAGAACAGTAAAGAAGATTTTAGCTGAAACTGTGGTCCTTGGTGATTCATAAAATACAAGTCTTGAGAATTAAAAAAGCATATCAAGGAACACAAAATTAGTGGCTCCTGGCGATATATTGAGGTCTTATGAAGAGAAACGATCGGTCTGTGCAAGAAACTGAACATTATTTACAGCATTATTACCTGTAATCCAGAGCCTCAGACAACAGGAGAATACGATTCTTTTCTGTGAAATGGTTCTTTCGGACAGTTCGTTTCAATGAACAGGTTCAATTCACTAGTTCATTTACGTAATCACACAATGACGTCACATATACGCCATTATATTATTAAAGCACCCAATAATGATGTGAAATGTGGATGTTTTATGTGTCTAAAGCATATAAAGTGAATAAACTAGTCTTCATCAGCTCACCTTTTTACATAAAGAGAAACCATTAAAACCTTAATTTGGCCCTTCATTGGTGTGTTTGGTTCGTGCATGTGAATATCAGCGGCTCGTCGGTCTTCGGTCCGAGTCGAACTGTTTCCTCAGTTCAGTGACTGTTGGAGGAACTGGAGCGCTGAATGATTCATTCATCACAGGATCAGATACGCCTGATAGCAGATACGTTGAACGATAACTAGGAGAAGAATAGAGTATTTGGAGCTTTGATGAACCTGATATATTCAGTTGCAAGTTTGATATGGATGTACACATTTCTGTAAGAAAAATGGAAAAGAGGTTTTTATGGTGACAGTTTGTTTGTTTGTGTTTAACCTTTATATATAGTTTAACAACCCAGTCATTTTTTTTTTTAATTTATGTTTTACATTTATGCCTTTGACAGACACTTTTATTCAGCTTAGACTGCATCAGTCCATGCATTCCCTGGGAATCGAATCCATGACCTTGGCGTTGTAGTGTCACACTCCACTGTTGGAGCTACATGAATGCCTGATTGCCTGTATTTTGTATGATTTCTATGCAGTAAATTGTTCTGAACATAGTTGGAATTCTCTCTTTGTCTGATTTTCAAGGCCTTCAGGATTTATATTTAGGTGCATTGCTCTTCTGATATGAGTTGGGCCAAATGATGGGCAGAATTCCAGTTTAGCGCTTGGGATTTTAACTGCATTCGTGGCCCAGTGATTGAGGCTTTAGCCTTTTTTTTTTTTCTTTATTACAGCAGATATTTTCCCCATTTTTTCCCAGTGAAAGGAAGATGTCCTAATGTAAAGAAATGTATGGCTTCCATTTAATTTGACCAATAAGGCTAATATGATCCAGAACATCGGACCTTAATAAAAATATGTTGCATTTTAGGTAATTTGCTCCCATCTAATGCAACATTATTTATTTATTTTTATTTTTTATTTTTGGCAAGTGGGAAAAAAAGGCATCGTTTGAAATCAGGAAAAAAGGAGTAGAGTCAGTCCCTCAACTAGGCATGAATTAAATAAGAGCGCAGACCAGCTTTTAATCATTCTCTGTGAGGTGAGAGAATTCATTAGATGCTGCCTTGAGAAACTTTGGCCTGTTTTTATTGTGTTCAAGTTATTAAAACATGAACACCATATGTGTGACTAACAGGAAATGTGTAATGAACGAACACCCTTCAAAAGACCAGAGGAAATGCATCTGTGTCACACAAGTCACATTATTGTGGAGAATCAGGATGAAAATGCATCTTACTGTATTTGCTGTTTTTCAGCCAAAGGCAAACCGCTCCAGCCAGGGGCATCGCTGGCGTCTGTGAGAGAAGAGAACTAGCTCAGCTTTGTAAAGGTGAATCATCTGTCAAACACCTACAGCTCCATTACCACCAAATAAATGATAGCCGCAGATGGGAACGGGGCAGCATGGTAAGATCTTCTTTGCTGTCCCTTTCCTAAAGTTTGAATTTTAACAGAAAAGCTAGATGCTGTCAAATTATTAGAGTTAATTGTACCTGTTGGCTGTTTAATATATGATGTAGTACACTGAAATTTGAAGGAAAATGTCTCTTCCATTAGAGTAAATGAAAGGAAAGTGCACTACTCAGACAGACTTTGATTGCTCTTATTGGGCTAATTTACAGATAAGAGCCGTGACATGCAAGAAAACTCTTATGTGGAACCCTCTCTTTAAAGAACTATTGTTTTTCACTTAATAACATATTATAGTAACATATCAAAGTCCATGTTTCCCATGCTTTTAATGTGTCACTTTGATGCTGTGATATGTAATTGCCTCGCAG